CTTTCTAATTTATACAGCAACTCTGCTCTGTTGCACCTCCTGTGATTTGTTCCATTTGCAGTTTTGTTTAATTGTTCAGCCTCAGCCTACATATTTATTGTGGATAACGCTGTAGCTGTGAGGTTTATTCATTTGTAATTGTATTTCATATTTATCGTTTTCTGTAATCTTTACTATCGGAGGTGTCCTCTCGGTCTCCGTTACGTTGCTTCGGTACTGATAAATATTGATTCTGTTTTTTTGCACTTTGTATTGAAGTTAGACACCGTGACATGTTTTGCATGGTAACATTTGTCTCATTATGCTATTTTATACTTTTACTCCACGACATTAATTTAACAGATGAAGTTACTTTGCAGATTGAATTAATTAATACAAAATATAAATCAACAGACATGTTATGTTATTATAGGTTAAGCTACTCTGTAGTGTTTCAAATCATTAAAATACACCAACATCTTTACCAAGTACAACAAGTGATGAACACATTAATGCACCAATCGTTTCAATATATTTCATAACATAAAAAGATCTGGTGCTCAAAATGGCCATGTTGGATAACTAGTACTTTTACTTTTGGTACTTAAGTATTTTGAATCCTACTCCTATTTAACTTTTACTTAAGTACACGTTTGAGTGCAGGACACAGTTTGAGTATTTTTATATTGCAGTATTTCTTCTTTACTAAAAGGTATCCTATTATACTCTTTTCAAACAACGTATAGGTCTCAGATAAACATGTCTCTGAAGGGTTTTGCTTTTTTTTAAACAAAAAAGATTTCAAAGAAAATCCTGAATATTGTGCCAACTATCAAAGTGTATAGTATTTATGTTTAAAACACTTCCTTGATAGAGTTGTTGTTTTCTTAGGTTATTATTCCATGTATTTCCTGCTTGAGGCGCATCCTTTGCAACATATCCACTGCACTTTCCATGTTCTTAAGCTTTTATGTCTGTAGGAGCCAATTAACTGCGGGTATAAAGAACCTATGTTTGTTGGTGAGAGGTTCCGCCGGAAGGCCCATACAGTTTTTTACCACAGGAGAACACACAAGGAGAACACACGGAGCACACACGGAGCACACACACAAGGAGAACACACACACGGAGAACACAAGGAGAAACACACGGAGACACACACACGGAGCACACACACACGGAGAACACACAAACACGAGATTACAAACAAACAGAAAAGGTATTGTAAACCGTAATATCGTGAATGATGGAAAGAAACCAGTAAAAAGGGAAATAAATGGACTTTTTCGAACTGGAAACTTTGTTTCTGACTTTTATTCGGCAGCAAACAAGGTGTGCGTCAATTGCACCCACAGAGCGGATCCTCAGAGGCTTAGAGCGTTGGCTTAGCCTCCACAATGTCTATGTTCAAATATAAGTTGTAATGTTGACTAATTTCATCTTTTGATAAAAAAACCCTGCAGGGTTATTGTTTTTTTTGTATCTGTTACATCTTGGTTTTTGAATAGCCCTGCACAATCTGCACATATTAAACTCACATTTTACCACATTGCAAATAACAACTACTTTGCACACTTGTCTCTTGTTTGTATTTATGTTTTGATTTTTTTTTTATAATGAATTATGTGTTTATATTTTACATTGTGTATTCCATAGAGACTTTCTACTTTAGTTTGGCATGCATTTACTGTACACTTTTTTAACCCATGTGCAATTCCTCTCAAGAACCTTTTTCTGCTGCACCAAATTACTTTCCTTTTTCCCCACACTTCCAACATGCAATTCTTCCTCCATCCACCAGATGGCGGCAGTCTTCCTTGTATGTTCAAAATCACATGACTCCCACACTGCCCACCTGTTTCACATTTCCCAATTAGCCCCTCAGTATTTACTCACCTGATGGCAGACTCCAGCGGCTTCATTTATAAAGGGGTATACGCTCAAAAAATGGCGTACGCCAGTTTCTACGCAAAGTTTGCGATTTATAAAATACTAACTTGAGGGGAAAATGTGCGGTCCTCCACGCAAACTCTAACCCATGCGTACGCACTAAGCACAAACACGGGAGAGACGAGAAACTGCGACACCGTTGGCAGAAGGAAGAATGGAGAGAAATATGTGGAAATAATACCATAAATAAAACGTTACCTCTCATTTATCATATATGAAGAATTCATTTTCAAACATTGATTAAAGCCAATCTTAAAATGATTAAACAAACGCCTGTTTGCGACTCCTCAGTGCACACACAAACAAATAACTTGGAGAAATAAATAAATACGGATATGTTATTTAAAACCACCTGGAATATGTTGTGTTAATGTTATGAAATGTTTTCTCATAAATGATGCGGTAAGCAGGAGGACAGAATTACGTCTAAACTGACGCCGTGTTGCATTTCTATAGGTTGTAGATACGAGCATGGTTTTATATACTATCACGTTTAATCGTGTTTTATGCCGTTTGCTAAGACTTGATAAGTCGCTCGTAAAACACAGGAGGTATGGAAGCTAAGAACACCATATGTGGTCAATTGTACAGCTAATATAACACAGCACATTAGTTGTATTTCCTTTAACTGGTGGATATAGAGTTGCTGCGGGGGGGGTTTGAGATGCACAGGCTGCAGTGGAGACGCTGTGCACAGCTGATCGACAGCTGGGACACAAACCACCAAATACAAACAAATAATTCAGATCCAGTCGTCATGACTCCGGAGGGATTCCCCGTTCACTTCTTACCGTTTCTCATCAAGGGGGGTCTCCTGTCCCCGGTACAAACACACTGCCTGAGGAAAGCTATGTGTATTGTTTTTGTCATGAACCTTTTTCGGGCCATTTATTTATTTATTTTGGTGACGATCCGACCTCCATGCTGCTACTCTGTTCAAACTGCATCCACCAAACAATATGATTTATCTCCACCTCCCCAAAATAACCAGAATCTGACACGGTGTGAGATGTCTTTTTTATCTGTTCTGTCGTCATTTCCTGCGATCTTCTTCATAAAGTCAGTCAGAATGAATATTAATACGGGGCGTTTCTTTGACTATTTATAGGCAAATATGGGCGTTACGTGAACCCCGCAAAAGCTGCACCGCATTTCGAGTCGGTTGTGATTTATAAAGGGAAACCGGCGTAGGAAGTGCTGTCCGCACTTTCCTCGCCGGTGCGCAATGTTTGGTGAATTGGGAAGTGGCGGAAAATTGATGGACCTATTTTTCGGATTTCTACTACGTAAGCAACCTTCCCACGTGAATCCTACGCACGGCGTTATACATGAGGCCCCTGAAGAGAGATGTGTCTCGGCAGGGGCGGACTGGGACTAAAATTCAGCCCTGGAAACTGATCCAGTCCGGCCACATGAAATGTCAAATGTTAGAAATCCTCTGTTTATTATTTAAAGTTTTATGTCCGATTCGCTCCTTTTTCCCTCTCTGTACACAGCTCCATTTTGGGCATTGGCCTGTCATCAGATTTCATTTTTAGTTGCTGCTGTGTAGCGGAAGTTTAGTACAATTATGTTTGATGAAATACTTCAAATCTCTACCCTCCATAATTGCAATTGCTTCAGTTGCTTGCTACTTTTTGTGATG